GTCAGCACTCACCTCTCTCCGCTCAGGCTCATGGATTGTCCCTCAGTGCCCTTGTGTATATTGCAGGGCTATGGTCCATGCATTTGAAGAGATGATACCAGTGGGCCTCCGATCACTGGAGCGGAGGGGAGAAGAGGCTCCCAGTGCCAGTCTTGGAGCATACAGGAGCGGGGATCAGGTAAGTAAAAGTCCTTTACAAAGGTCCCCTAGACATAAATGAGCAGTTAACCCTTGCAGGGTGAGGGTATACTTTCTTTCCTGGAGGTAGACTTTATCAGACCAAAAGGAAGCATATAGTTCATTGTTGGGGCTTTACTTATTCTTTAGGCAATATCAAGCACAAGAGATGGAAGTGTCGATATTGTAAAGCAGTGATTCTGTTTTTCTACATAGGGAATGGACCGATCTGCTTCTGTGCCGAATATGAACATCGACTTGTGACGGAATCCCTGCCGCGGCGATCCACAGAAGGTTTGTCTTTGGACTCTTTTTCTCCTGGAAAAGCTTAATTTTTAGACCCGGATAAACGCACAATAAAAATCCCATTTTATCTGCATATTCCATTCGCTTCTTGTTATCTATAGAAGCTCTGTGGGCTTTGTAGTTAATGAGTATTGAAAAGCAGCAAGCAAAATGCAAAAGAACATCTGCAGTGGATGTTCATGAACATTTGATAACATAGTGTGCTCTCCTCTGTGGTTGTATGAGATAATACTGTTTGTAAGAAGCTTTGAAAACCAGCCCAGCAGTACAGTGAACCCCCGAGGATATTTTATAATATTGGTAGCTCTGAAATTTCCTCCAGTCTAATCATCACATGTTTGCTTTTCCATATGTTTGTTATTGTATTAAAGATGCAGATCTGGAGAGGCACCACTAGAGGGAGCTCTGTTTTGAACTCAGAGTTATTCACTTTCCCTTGTTATCAGCTGCTGGGATACATATCAGCCACATAGGGAGTGTATTGTTTTCAGTCAGTCGGACAACTCATAGACTTACATTGTGAGAAGCGGTAGTAAGGAACAACCGCTGTGCAGCAGGAAGTTTATCCTGTGTAGGTAATGAACAAGTATAGCTGCCACCATGAACTTATAATATTACAAATTATGGACAGAAGCACAGTATTTTGAAAACAGTAACATGCATGGATATTAGTTTTATTAAAGGTGTACATTCAAAAATGATTGAAGATGATTCCTTTAAAAAAAAGGATGCTAGTTATTGTAGGCTCCTATTCAGTGCTGAAGAATGCCATTGTCTGACTTTGGAAGCAAAGCACACCCCTGTGGCATCTCCAAGTTTATTTAGTATTGTTGTTACTAAACACACTTTACAATTTACAGAACGCTTTACATAGTGCACATTCATATCAGTCCCTGCCCTCAAGGAGCTTACAATCTAAGGTCCCTAACTTGCATACATACGGCCACTTTAGAGAGGAGCCAATTAACCTACCAGCATGTCTTTGGAGTGTGGGAAGAAACCGGAGTACCCGGAGGAAACCCATACAAGCACAGGGAGAACATGGACACCCCTTGCACCTGACCATTCAGTATTTGAACCAGGGACCAGTCAGTATTTGAACCAGGGACCCCCAGTGCTGCAAGGCAGAAGTGCTAACCACTACACCACTGTGCTTGTGACAGGCAATCAGCAGGCCCGTATTTCCCGCAAGGCCGCTGAGGCCCGGCCTCAGGGCGGCAGGGCGCAGAGGGGCGGCAGCGGTGTGGAGTCCCCCGACGCCCGGAACATACAGTTCCGGGCGGGTAAGTTGCCTTGTGGGGAATCCGCTCGTACATTTACAGGTGATCGCGGCGATGTCGCCGCAATCACTTGTA